TCTTGTCTTGGTCTTCCTGTCTCAGATCGACATAGTGGTCGGGAGTTTTGGAGTCAACAGTATCCACGACGCACAACGTAACGTTCGATAATGTGTCATGCACAAAAGCATCAGCTCTACGAGCCGTGCTTTGTAGTGAATCAGAAGAGTCGACTCCCATTGAGCGAGAGCCGTCTCCTCACTTAATTTCCTTTCGCTGCTCAGCTCTCACACAGTGGCTCAGCTATGCTCCAATCCTTCCATATTGTGGCCAATCACATGCGAGGATATAGGATAATATCATTATGTGAAAAACAGAGAGGGTGAGAGACGCGACAGTCAAGTGGAGCATCCGTCTGTCCTCTCAGTGAGTGAGTGAGACAGTAGACAGCGGTGAGGAGGGCTGTGCGAGTGCATCGCAAGAACACATAAATATGCCCGACACCCGTGAACAAAGCAGCATCCGGCTGCAGTTTAAAGACTTTTTTGTCTCGGTCTTGGTCTCATCTCGACTTTGTCTTGGTCTTGTCTTGGTCTCGATACCCTCTTGTCTTGGTCTTGTCTTGGTCTTGGTTTAGGCGGTCTTGACTGCAAGTCTACCCTGAATTGGCTGATGGGTACGAAAATGATGTGAATCGTATGACATGATCTTCACCATCATCCGCTCTCAACACAGTAGAACATAAATAGGAGATTCACTACTAGAGACTAGAGTTGCACTGAAGCAGTCCTGGCAGCCCGAGATGGCTGAGCATCTTACAAAGAGACTTTGTTGTGTTTTCCTTTAGTTTGACACCTGTCTGTACATCTAGATGTTTTAGAGAAAACGTTACCTCTGAGACAAACAGAGTGCTCGGGTCAATGATGTCTACAAAGTGTCTCAGTCGACCAAAGAACGAACCCTGGGAAAGACAGCATGACAGAGTTAATCCTTAAAAATAGCAGGAAAACATGTTTTCACTCAAATACACAGAACCAATTCCATTCGACTTGTTCGTGATCATAACAAACAGTTTTATCTGCCTCACAGTTACACTGAGTCAGCAATAGCTTCATAACATCACGTCTGCATCCTGTTGTTTTATATTGACGGAAGAATATTTGCAAGGTCAAAACCAAGGTTCAGAAACACTGAAATGAATACACATGATCACGTTAATCTACTTCAAAATGTAATTCACAACTTCTTTGTGTAGCAGTTTTCTTATAATCATATGGAAGGAAATAATGCTGAGATGTAAAAGCAAATTATGTATTTTAAGATTAAAGTTTGGGGGAAATGCACCAGCAATCTGCACATTTACTCCAGTAAAAGTTCCTCCCAAGTGAGACTTGAAGCTGCTGGTCAAGCGCCCTGTTTTCTGTTCCCTTCACTGTCTCTACATCAGCATGCCAATTGCTAAGTATGTGTGCCAGCAATCTGAAAAGGCCCAATAGGAGCCTGTGCCAAGAGTCTCTTTGGCAAACCAGACGGGTGAAAACATGGCAGCTTCAATCAGAATCCGTCAGAGACATTTATCAGAGATGAAGGGAGGGAAACACAGCAGAATGACAGTGGAACTGACACGTCTCTATTTTCATTACCTCTCTAGCACCAGTTTCAAATTGAAATGACTGGAAACAACCTTCTGTCCTCATAAAGACCGTAGGTGTATAAATCTATCCGTATCACTGCTCTGGGTTTTCTGTCACTGCCTCGTTCCCTCATCGCATGTCTCCTCCTCTGACAGGCCATATGTGCTGCAGTGCTGTTTTGTAAGAGTGGGGCGAAGGGAGGATCTGTGTGAGGAGCCCGCGTTAATTATGCATGAGTTTCAGCTCCCTGGAGAACACACAACAAGGCTGGCAGAGATGGAGCGCGGCACAGAGCACAGACAAACCAAACAAGATTCATGCTGATTCAAGGACTGCCCTAATTTTTAATGCTTTGATGCAAAGAACTAAAAGTATTGCAGCACCTTGAACAGCCCAACATGAACTGCAGGTTACTGATGAAAAATGAACGTCTTTTTGAGGATCAGAGGGGAAAGAGCAATGAAAAACTAATGGCGGGGCCGAGCTGGGGAGCCTTGGTGATGGTAATCAGTTAAAAAAAATGATAAATATCCTGAGACAAAGACTGTTAATAAGCTGTCACTTGGGCAGTCTGTGAACAATGCAATATCCTGTACTAATTGGTGCGTCCATGAATGAATTATGAAACAGATCTGGAGGCACACTCATGCATGCAGTGCTTCAATCCTCCTAAATTAGATCAAGAGAGACAGATTGCGAGAGACAACATTTATTTGTGTCTCTTTTGGTCTTTTTGTCTCTTTGACGTCATCTTGTGTCTCTTTGTGTTGTTTTACATCTCACCGTAGTCATTTTGTGTAATGCTGCATCCCTTCCTTATCCTTTTGTAACTCTTACTCTTGCTGCTTTATATCTTTTTGTGGTCATTTTTGCAGGGTTTTCTTTTTTTGGGGGGGGGTTACAATTTTTGCAGCGATAGCACTTCTGAACCACTGAAAGAGGGTCCTGGGGTTAAACCTGGTTTTAGGGCCACTGGGTGTGGAGTTTGCATGTTCCCCTCGTGTTTGTGCTCTGTCAGAGTGCCAGCTCCTGCCTGTACTGAAAAACACTCCAGGTTAGGTCACTCCTGCAAAACACAGTGCCTCTTGATTAAACTGAATAGCAAGTTAAGAAATAGAATGGAATAATAAAATAATATCTGAATAATATTTGAATGATTTCTGTGTCTCTTTGTGCATTTCTTCAGTAAAGATCTGTCACATCAAATGTACTTGACCCGAAAACACTTCAGTAGTTGTGGGAAAATTTTCATACTTTCCAATATTTTTTTCTGCTGTCATGGTGGCATAATAACAACTGTATTGGTCGCTCGTGTGAGTTGAGAGAAGATCAGATTTAAAGCAGTTTAGTGTGACTTTAATTTACACTCCACGCATGAAGACTTTACTCTGTGCATTGACATTACAGCGTTAATAACTCCCTTAATACTGCTGTTCATTAAATGGGACCACAGAATAATTAGATGCGAGTTTAACTTGTCCTCAACGTGCCATCGGAGTCAACGTGAAGGACACGTTATCTGTCAGGCCTGACCACTGCAAATTAACTAACGGAGGGAAAATTCAGTAATGAGCTTCAGACATTCGTGGAAGTCCAGTAACGTCAAACAAAGTGGGAGCAACAGCAGTCTGCAGGAAGCATCCTGGGGGTAAAAAGAAAGTTTGATTGGACTGGATTATTGTACAAGATGTTCCAACAGATTTTGAAGCCTAGATTAAAAGTGAAAATAGGAAAAGCCAAACTCAGACAGCCAGTTGAAGATTTGAGAGAAAACGACCGACGGCGAGCTCTCAGTGTGTTGACTGCAGATCCGAACAGTGATATAACCGTGCGTCGAAGAGGCGTGGAATCTCATAAAACACTGATATGGCACTGCCGACGAGAAATCATTTCCACTATAAAAACTGCAATAAAGTCAAAACTCATCCATCTCAACCAAGTTCACTAGCAGCTGGAAGTTACTGCGGTTTAAATAAAGGCAACGAAGAATCGGATCACAAATCAAAGCCAACTTTGTGCCCACAAACTGCCTCAGCATCCGGAACGGAGCGGCTGCAGGGCGGAGGATGGAGCTGTTTTCCACCGAAAAGCCTGAAAACAAAATCCCATTAACGGATGGTTAGCGGAGGGTAGAGGGGGGGCTTACCTGGTCGTATCGGGGTCTCCCGAGCTGGAATGCAGGACACGCTGCGGATTCCGCCATGACACTCAACTATTTATTTATTAATGAACTGGATCATGAACGGATTTCCAAGTACAGCGAACTACATTCAATGTGTAACTAGTGAAGCAATGTGCCGCTAAGCCTGCCGGGAGATGTAGTTTTCTCATTTGCTTTAACGCTGGCAAAGTTGAAGCGCATGACTACACATCCCAAATAATCGATTAGGTGAACGCTATTGCATAACTGTTCGGATTGATCTTGGGAGAGATAACTGCTGATGCCACCATAGGTGTCAGATAGACCCAATTACTCATAATGTGAGGGGGCGTGGCCGGATGTCTGCAAGGAGTAATGGTCGGCCTGGAGCGACTTAATAAAGAACCAGCAGCGACAATCTATGTTATCAGTCACCGCATTGGACACTTTCATTACCTCTTATCATTCTGTGGAGAGAAGCAAGACACTGCCGCTTAGGAAATTACTTCCATCTCAAAACACCAAGAAAAAATACAAGCGATTTTGTTTTTTCTCCTCTTATAACGCTGATACATATGAAGAAAAATAAGAGGAAACTGAGAAAAAATAATAAATAAGCCAACTGTGGCATATGGAGCGAAGTGTGCATGATAAATTCGGATAAATGACACTTCCAGCGTCACTTTCAAAGCATTCATTTTTTCCCTATAATGTTACTTTGGGGTTACTTAATTATGAACACTGTTAATATGCATCAGATAGCCGCCCCCCCGCCCCCCC